CAGTCTGGGTCTAGTTTTGGTATCACAACTTATTGCAAAAGATGGCAAAACAATACACACATGGAATCAAGTCAAATTGGCAAGTGGCATGAGTTTAAAAAGAAAAAAAGCAGGCTGGTTCGCTAAATTAGAAGATGAAATGTTAGAAAATTCTCTTATACGAGTAGTCAAAAATATATATAACTGCATAGCAAATAATGCCAATGCACTTAGATTAAAGACAAAAAAACCAAGTGCTGACAAAAGATTAAAAGAATGGGTTTGCTAGAAAGATGAATTAAATGCAACACTCAATTTAGAAAAAATTAAAGAAAAAGAAAATGCCTATATAGAAGTTGAAAAATATAAAGAAACAATATTTTGTCATAAGAACGAAAGGCAGCAGTTGTTAGAAATTAATGAAAGAAGAGAAACTTATATGATTAAGCATAGAAAACTTAAAGACATTTCAAACATAGTTCAGAAAACAGAAAAAGTGATGAAGTTGATTTTCAAAAAAAGATACATTGAAAAGATAGTTGGTAAAAAGGAAAAAAAAGTATTAATCAAAGCAAAAGAGTTGGAAAAAATAAAGAAGAAGAGTAAAATAGTCATAGAGTGCGAATATTGGGAAATAGTTTTAGTTAATAGAATAGTTTGTGATGATATAATTAAATCTAGAATAGCAGAAAGTTTAGAACATAATAGAGATTTAGATAGTTTATTTTTTTATACAGATGGCTTACTTGGTACTGCTGAAGTTGAAGATAAGTTAGTAATGGGATATGGAGTAATTCAAACTACAGAATTGGGTCAGCTTTTACGTCAAATGTCTTGTGCAACAAGAAGTGGTTCTCATCTACAAGAGCTGAAATGGTAGCAATATTACTTACACTACTAACAACACCTTGGGGAAGAAGGGTAGAGATACGAACAGATAGTAAAGCAGCAATATTGGCAATCAAAAAGGGCTAGAGACAGACAAGATAAGATCTTGGTTGAAGACTAAGAATTGTGGTCTGGTAACAACAATTGCAGAGGTAATCAAGACAAAGAAGCTAAATACACACTTTATAAAGATCAAGGGTTATTCAGGTGATATATTTAACAATCTTGTAGATTTGAAAGCAAAGGAAGGGTCCAAGTCAACAGAGTACCTAAACCCAGAAGTATTACATATGAAAAGCCACAAAATAAGATACATATGGGAAGGTAAATTAGTTGAAAAGCCTATTCGTTCTTTTGTTAAAATGATAGGGAGAGTACTATTGAAAGCAGAATGGGCTTTCTTGTACAATACACATGATAAAACTCATCAAGAAAGAAAGAGTACTCAATCCTGGTCCATGTTGCACAACATAATGAGGAATAGAACCAGACAACGAAATCACACTTTCAAATCAAACGCATTACAGCTCTTCGAAACAAAGTGTATAAACAACATGCTCCCAGTATTCGAAAAACTCAATCGAAGAAGGCCTGAAACATACAAGACAAATAAATGTGTTATATGTAAAAAAAAGAAGGAGAATGTAGAACACCTGGTGAGCTGTGAAACTTCCCTAAACCTACTTCGCGATCTAGAGGAGCAAGTAGTAGAAGCAACCTTGTTTGAACTAAAAAAGGTAGAAAGTATGGAAACAACTAAAAAAGAAGTCTTAACAATGCTAGGAAAGGGATCCCAAGCTGAAGAATCATGTAGAAGAGAAAGATGGATCAGAGGCCTAATCACAAAAGAAGACTTTGATAAGTTGAGACCTCTTTTCAACTCAAACAACCAAGCAAAGAACTTTATAGGTAGACTCTGGAAGAACTGGATAAAAGAGAGTTACAAGAGAATATGGATTACAAGATGTAAATTAGTACAAGAATGGGAGAAGGAAAATGGAATCATGCCAAAAGATAAAAGAAGAACTTATGAAAAGACAAGAAGGAAAAAAAAGAAGAAACCACCTGATAAACGTATTAAAGAAAAAGAAAAAGATAAAGATGTAGACGAGAATAAAAGGTGAAGTTCAGTTTTAGAGATAACTAAAAAAGAGGTTATAAGATGGATTGAAGAAGAGCAACAGGCAGATTGGTGGAAAACTAATATGTAGTCTTGATGGGCGGTAAGATCTAGCTAATGATGTATTATCGAAGCCAATTGCAGGATGAAATAATACAGAGGTGAATCTTACTATAGCAGGTTACACATAGATACTCAGTGAGCAACCGGGTGAGTCTTCACTTGTAATTTAGGTACTATAGAGTATAGCTCTGTAGAAAATTTTAATAGTTTAGATAATTATTACAAAGCCTAATAAAGTGAAGGTAAAACTGCTAAATTCAATAAAAAAAAAAAATATACTAGTTCTAGTATATTAAAATTTTACAAAAAATATATAATATAAAAAAATTTCTTTTAATAATTTTATTATTAATATAAAAAAAAATTATATTAAACAATTTTTGAATATTTATCAGATTTTTGTATATAAAAAAAATTAGACTTTTTAATTTTTTAGATTTTTTATGAGTTTTTAAAAATATACTAGTACTAGTACAAAAATAAAAATCTAATCCATTAATATATATAAAATAGATATAAAATAAATTATATTTTAAGCCTAATAAATGCTAACATAATTGCTAAATTTTTTTTAAAAAAAATTTAAATTAAATAATTTAAAAATAAAAAAAAATAAAAATATTTAGTTAGTAAAATTTACAAAAATATAAAAGCTAATAAAATATAAATAAATTTGTAAAACTCTTCAAATAGAAATTAATTTAAAAAAGTTATAAAAACTAAAAATTATTTATAGTAATATAGTAATATAAATTATAATATAGCTATAATACTAAATATTATAATATACCAAACTTTAAATCTTTTATATTATCAAAACTTTAATATATTAAGTTAAAATAAGTAATTAAAAAGTAGTACTCAACTTTTTCTGATGATCATCTGGACTACTACTTCTAAAAACTATTTACCAAAAAAAAATAATATACACTGTAGTAAGGCTTTAAGAACTCTAATATAAGATATAAAAAAAAGGCTCCAGAAACAGCAGCTGTTATTTAGAAATAGTTCTCATATGCTACCTGCCGACAGCCCCAGAGTTTATTATTTACTGTTTTTTGGTAAGCATGATACTTGTCATTTAGAGGCAGTTCTCATATACTACCTGCTGACAAGCTCAAAGTTTATTATCTACTGAAAAGATTTAGTACTGTACAAGCTTGGATAAAAGATCTATTCTAGTAAAAGAAAACTTACACTCTCTTGGTGTCTTCATTTTCTTACACACCTCTTTTCTGTTATTATTTTTACAAAAATTTTAAAAAAAGTAGAAATTTTGGCTTACCTCTTCCAAATGATCAATATTGTTTATCACTTCTATTTTTAGAAATCAATATGACAAATTAGGGATACAACAAACACATGAAAGGTTGATTATATGTGGCATTTAATATAAATAGATTTTAATATAGAAAAAGTTATTTTATAAGAGATATATATTATCACAAGAGATATACATTATTCCAAAGTCATATATATAATATTTTTTATCGGTCTTGCATGTCAAGACTTCTATCTTTTCTTTTGCTTTCTTTATCTTTCTCCCCTTATAATTAGATTCTGTTTAGATTTGGTTTTTTTTTCTGTTCCTGTTTATTTTTTTTTCCATCTAAATGTATGTTTTAGTATAAGTTAGGTGTTTATCTTCCCTTATATGAATGTAAGAGAATTAACTATTCTGCCTGGTTCTTGGTAGAAGAAGTTTTAAAGAAGGAATAGGTAGTCTTGACAAGCCACAGGTACCACCCAGTGATATATTAGTTAGCCTGAAATAAAGTTAGTTAATAGGAGAGAAACACCTGTTATAGCAGGTTGCACATAGATACTCTTTGAGCAACCAGGTGAGTCAACACTTGTAAGCTAGGTGTCAAGCAGAATAGCTGCTTGAAAATTTTGTATTTAAAATATTAAAATTTACAAAGCCTAATAAAGTGTTGGCAAGGCTGCCGAATTTAAAAAAAAAAAAAAAAAAAAAAAGTAGTACTTAGATATAAATAGCTAAAACATAGTCTAATTTTTAGTTTTATTTAATACTGTATATAATTACATATATTAATTGATATAATAATTTACATATAAAAATTTAATAAAAAAACTAAAACCAGATTTTGTCTTAACAAAAATATATATATAGTTGCTAGTATTTGAAGTATACAAAAAACATAATAATACAAATACCTAAAAACTACAAGTATATTAACTAAAAAAATAAATACTGTTAAATATTTAAATCTAAACATTTATTTATTTGACTATTAGCCAAAAAAAAAACAAATTAATTAAATTAATAAATTTCTAATTTAACTTTGTACTAATTAAAATATTATATCGCTTCCCATTGACCTAAATCCATTATCATTGTGTGCTATATTTCTAAATATAAACAAATATAACTCAATATATACAAAAAAATTTTTTGTAATGATTCAAAAACTTTTATATGAATTATTTCATTATAAATTGTTCATCAAAGTTTGTAAGAAAATCGACCTGCTAAACCGAAGATTATATTTAGCCAATTTTTCATTATTGGCCAGAACTACTAATCTCATATCAGATCCAGATTCTGGTCCGGAAGTCACGTTTTCAAATAATTTTATAGAGATGTTATACAAAAAACAACCTGGTATTGAACCCCGTTTACTATCCTGAATTTAAAAAGAACATAATAAATTCTAAATTACCCCATCAATTTCATCGTCAGGTTTGAAAGTTATTATTGATCAGCTTCTAAATATATTGAAATTACCTTAATGCCATTGTCTTTAAAAAATTCAAAATGGTATCCAAATATATCTGACAAGATCTTATCATATTCTTGAGACTTATTTTCTAAAGCCTTATAAATAATTAGAATATCATATAAGATTAACATTAAAATAAAACACATCTATCATACGAGTAGTTATATTAACCTCTTGTAATCTTAATATTCTCTTATCTTAAGAACTTACTCTTCGAGCAATCTCTTCTCTCTTTGAATATTTTTGAAAGTTTGAGTTTCTTTTTCAAAAACTTGCTCTTCAGCAAGCTCTTTTCTCTGACATTTTCCAAAGTTGACATTGGTATGACATCAAAGTCGGCGTTATAAATATTGATTCCCTGAAATTTTTTTTTTTTTCCATCTCTTTAAGATGTTCAAGTTTTAATCCATCTAACGTACTTTGACGAATAGTACAATATTTCGTCACAGGATTATCTCTTAAACCTACACAAGATAATATGCTAAACAATTATACAACGTTTCAATAATTAATAATCAATACTACTGCTACATGCGAATCTATAATTTCTTACTTGTGTCATTTCGCGATTGTATTCGCCTCTACCAACTACTTTCTCTAAAGCTGTAACTTAACTTTGCAATAATAAATTATCCTTGAAAATTATTTACAGCTATAAACAATTACATGGATTAATTAATAATTAGTTTAGGTAAAACATATAAATAACAAATACATTTAAACTAAATACACAATCTTCTAATCCATTACCATATCCCAAGGTTTTAACTTTATTTTTCCAAGTATATTGAGGAGTAAATAATGTTCGAGAATCATATTCAGGTGATCCTGTAAAATATATTTGTGTAAATCCCACATAGTATAATGCTCTTCATTTTTGTTTTAAATCCGTTGTATATTGCTTAAAAGTTAAAATATACCATTTTTGGTAAAATAAAATATAAATACTACTATTAAAAATTAGGCCTACCTTTTTTTTTCAGATCCCATGTGAAAAAAAAAAAAAGATGAATCGCATCGCATAACGGTATTTGAAGCAAATGCCGGATAATTCGGCTCTATGATAAAAAGTTTAAAACAATCCTTTAAACCATTCTGAATGCTCTTCTCACTATCGGTATAGGGATGGTTCAAAGACATGATCTGGTTAGATCTAAAAAAACATTATGACGAAGTATGATCCTATTGCGTAATTAATATCAAATGAATTTGTAAATTAAAAATCGCGTGATATATAGGCTTTAGACGATTCCTATAGATATATGACTACAAAAAAAAAATAATAATAACAATAATAAATAAAAAAAATTCTTCAAAGCAATGCTTCCTGTTCGTTAAAAGAAATTCGTTTAAACTTTAAAAAGTTACTGAACCTGATAAACATGATCAAGCAACATCTCGCTAAAAATGTAATTATTGTGAAGAGACTGTGCTGTTTAGTTAACCAATTAAAAGTCATTTATTAAAATATAAGAAAAATAAGTTTATTAAATAATTCATTCGTAAAAAAAAAAAAACTTATTCAATAAGGTTTACATTGTAAACCTTGAATACTAATATAGAATGAAAGGTCGAACGAAATTATATGTAGCACCGTCTTTTTTTAAAAAATTGTTCTCGGCTGAAAATTAAAATTAACCAATCAGAGGTCACCATCCCTAGTACGTAACTATAAGTACTGTACGTACGTACGTACCAGTCACACGATATCTGGTACGTACGTACCGAAGATTTCTCTATGCAAACACAAGAAACTTGATATGATTAAATTAAGATAAATTTATCCAAGAACTAA